CTCGGGTTGACAGCGCTGTCCCCTGTGTGGCAGCAGATTGAGGTTGATTTGAGCATCATTAATGATTGTGTGAGCAGCTCACAGAGGACAGACGCATTCCTGAAGTTTCCATGACGTCAAGCGCTCCTGTCACGAGCTGTTCCTGGCTGGGAATGGTGAGACACGTGGGTGCTGTGAATGTGCCTTTACCAAAATAAGGCATGAGAAACGTCATTTGAGGCTGCTGAGTCCCGTATTGGTTGAACAGCAGGATTTGTTCATAGTTCCTGCCAATTTAAGGTTGTTTGACTGGCTGCTGTTCTTATGTAAGCAGTGTTTGTCAGTCTGCTTCTCCACTCAGAGCCTGTTTTTCTCCAGGCCTTTGGTTTCTGAATGCAGAAAGGATGATTTAGTGTTGATATGAGCAAAGATGGCCATTTAAAAAAAAAAAAGTAATTTTTTTTTTCACTCAGATGCATCAGTTATCAAACACACTTAAAGCATTAACCCTCTGGGCCTCTTAAAAAATACATTTTGAAATTTAAAAAATCATAGCTTCATCGGACACTTGTTGGCTTTTGTTGCATTAGCTACGTGAACATAGAAACAAAATCATGGACATGATTCAGGTCAAAACATCTAAAAAAAAAAAGTAACACTTGGTGCCAAAAATAGCTCATAAAAATGTAATAAATATTGCATAGTCTCATAAAATCCCCTCAAAATTCTAAGTAATCAAAAAATATTATTAAGGAAAAATATATTACATTGATTTAACTGAAGAAAAAAAAAAGTAAATTTCAAGGCTTCGGTCACTTTCGACCATGAGGCTCAGAGGGTTAAATAATCAATTATTGTTCACATGCATACATTAAAACAAATATGTATTCCTGAATCCATCAAACATTCAGAAGGCTTTAATATCTCTTCTCTCTTTCTCGTCTCTTGTGTTTGGATGCACCGCTCTACTGTTAGTTTAGACGAAGAGCTGACAGAGTAATGAGGAACCTCAAATCCTCATCTCATATGGAAATGCTGTTTATTTATCACAGTGACAAAAACACCGTGTGTCAATATTAGTTTGTTTGCGTATGCCGTGAAAGTCTTGAAGCGCTTGCCAAATCTTAAAGGGGACACTGTTTATTTATTCATTCATTTATCCCTGTTGTCTTATTATGTTGGCAAAGTGTATTTGTGCCATAAAGACAGGATTCCCACAGTCATGGCAAACATGAAAAAACAAACTAATGTGATTTCAAGGCCTAAAAAAAGTCATGGAAATGAATACATATTTAAAATCATGAACATTTGTGTAGTGAATTAGTTTTTTAGTTATGCTCTAAAATGCATTATATTGTTGATACAATATTTTAAGGCTTGAATTTATGTAATCTATTTCATTTAATGTATAATGTTAATTGTTAATGTTTAAATAAAATTTAAATAAAATAAATTTTAATAAATTTAAGCTTAATTAGACATCATTTAGTCGCCCAGAGTGAAGATTTAGTCGCATATGCGAGTGATTTACTTGCAATGTAGAGGGTTGGCTTGAGCGTACCCTCCCTGCCTATACTACGCCTCAAAAATATGAATAAAAAGTATGATACTACTAACCATTTTCTGCACCACTATTAAAGAGACCTGAATGATGTCATTTATGGTAAATGATATCACATATCAATGATTATGGGTGTCGAATGGTTAGTGTGACGGGGTTGAGTTCACACTGAGGGACATCACTTTAAAGTCTGTTTTTTATAAAATATCTTGCATTTTTTTTTAGAAAAATATTTTTCACAAAAAAAGAAACACAAATAAATGCTTACATTATTGCCAAAAATTATAGACACTTTGCAGATTTTGTTAATAATTTTCAGTACAAACTCGGTGCCTCAGGGACATGACAAAATGCTTGGTGTAAGATAGAAATAAAACATTATTTTATGATAAAAATTATTTACATACAAGAATTATTATTATTCATTTTAATGGGCATGCAAAAGTATTGTAAAAAGCTTTTAACACTTCATTTTAGTGAACCACCACCACTTTTACAAGAGGTCTAAGAGTACTCAAGAAAATATTATTTTCTATATATACATTATTATTTATTTTTCTTTCTTTTTATTTATCTATTTATTTTTTTTAATGGTTGTGATGGCAGAAATATGTGAGCCTGCAGCACAAAAGCAGTGTTAAGTCGCTGGGGTATATTTGTAGCAATAGCCAACAATACATTGTATGGATCAAAATTATACATTTTTCTTTTATGCCAAAAATCATTAGGATATTAAGTAAAGATCATGTTCCATGAAGATATTTTGTAA